GGTTAAAAAAGGTTGTTAGTTAATTAGTTAGTTAATTAGTTAGTTAATTAGTTAGTTAGTGTGTGTGTTTCTTTTTCAAAGGTTAAAAAAGGTTGAACTGGTGCACTAATGAATTCACCTGGTCTGGGGTTTTGGTCAGGTGACTCTGTTTACAAAGGAGGGGAACAAGCTGACAACCATCGCCGAGCGTGATGATTGGGTCTGGTGCGTCCGGCCACGACCGAAGCAGAACTTTGTGGCGATAGGATGCAATGATGGGACGATCGCTGTTTATCATCTCATTTTCAGCACTGTTAGAACTCAAAACACCTTTGCTTGCCTTCCTCCTCCACCTCCTCCACCTCCTCCACCTCCTCAATCTCCTCCACCTTCTCCACCTCGGCCACCTCCTCCCCTCTTCCTTCTCCTGCTCCACTGCCTCCTCCTCTTCGTCTGTTCTCCTTTTCCTTTCTCACCCTGGCCTTCCTTTTTTACCATGAAGGTCAAAGAAAATTACCACAGTAATTATGACAACGAGCGCTACTGGAATCTGATGGATTTCATGAAGAAGATGATGATGACAGAGTCCCTCTTGCCTCACGGCCCTCCTACTTCACCCTGCAGACCCCACTCTGAGAAGAGTTATAACAACGGAGCCACCATCGCCATCGCCGTTCTGCCCTTGAGCAGCTCTGCACGCCTTTCACAAACAGTGGGTGCGCCCCCGCGTGGAGCACAGAGGCGCAAGCTCTCCACTCCTTACGACGGGGTGTGTTGCTCCCCTGTGCAGAGCGGAGAGGCACGAGCTTGCCTCTCCGCTCCTTTCAAAAACTGTTGGGCGTGTGCTTTGCCCCCCCGCAGAGTGGGGATTGTACTTCTTCATACATCACCGTCCTACTTCCACCCCTACCCCACTTAGCCCCACCAACAGAAAGTGAAGGGTGTACACTGTGCAGCTGACAGCGTCATCCCTCCCTTCCCAGCCTGTCCTGGCACTTAACCTTCACCTCTTGCCTTCCCGGCCTTCGTCCTTGTCTTTATATTTTCTTCACCTCCCACCCCTCCTCCTCCTCCTCCTCCTCCTCCTCCACTTCCTTCACCTCCTCTTCCTTGTCCTCTTTTCCCTGATCCTCATCCTTGCCCTCGTCCTTACCTTTGTCCTTGTTTTTTTTTTTTTTTTTTTTTTCGTATGTGGCCCGATGGACCACGGATCAGATTTTAAAGTGATCAGAACAGATACTACACTTGATCTTAGCCAAAAGGCGGAGAAAGGCATACTTATGTTTTTCGATCTCTTAATGAATCCCTAAACTATTACGGTCCCTAAACTATTACCCCACCAGTATGTTTGCCAGCTAGAAAATCGAAGTTGCCATGTGCACGCATGCTGCCGTGACTCTCGGGAAGTACCAGGGTCCGGTTTCACAGCACATCGGGTGCATGCATCCAGCAAAACGGGTGCAAAACGGGTCATGCGAGACCCGTTTTGCCTGGATGGATGTCCAGCGAACGGGGCCCGGTATTTCCCGTGAGTCGCAGCAGCATGCACACTGCCGATCCAGCGAAACGGCGCCCGGGTGTTTCCCGAGAGTCGCAGCAGCATGCACACGGCACCTTCGATTTTCTAGCTGGGAAATGTACTGGTGGTTCTTTCTTTTTTTTTTCTTTTTTTTTTTATATCCCCTCTCTCTAATTCTTCTGCTGCATGATAATGCTATTTTGTCCTCGTCTAACTTTACCTTTCCCTTATTGTCCCTGCCTCTCCTCGTCCCTCTTCACTTTCCAAAGTGACAAACAGTCTAGCCTCCTTTACTTGTCTGAGATTTGCGTATCAAGACTCATGGATCCCCTCCTCGCAAGGGGAAATATGTCATAATTCCAAGAAAGAACAACAACAACAAAAAAAAAAAAAAAAAAAAACGAACAAGAAGAATATCATCAATTTGTTGCGTTGATTAACCATAGATGATAGATGCTCAGGGTATCTTCCATCTATCATCTATAGTTTACCTGAAAACCCTGTCTATACTCTGGAGGTACAGGATAGGGATGGACAGGTCCTGGTCAGCGGGCTAGACAACCCCTTACAGACGATAGAGCAGTGGTCCTGGTCAGCGGGCTAGACAACCCCTTACAGACGATAGAGCAGTGGTCTTCTCTCCTGCTATGGTTGAGCAGGCTGTTTTCTCTTTTCTCTTTTCTCTTTTACCTATTGCTATGTAGAATATTGGTATTGGCCCATTAGTTAGTTAAAAAAAAAAAAAAAAAAAAAAACAACAACAATCAATTAGTTAGTCAATCATAGTAACTTTGGTTTGAATTACTTTGTAATTGAAAGGGTATATACTATATAAGGGATAGTTTGACTGTGCTGTGGGTAACTCATAGCCCCAAGTAAATGGTGTGTAGTAGCCTAGGGCCTAGGCTACCAGCTGGGCGGGCCGGGTTGCCTCAGACTGGCACGGGTGGCCCGGCCAGGCCAGGTTCGGGCAAAGTCCCGGTCAAGGTCCCGCACAGCCTCAAGGCAAGAAAAACAACTTTTGGCTGAGGGTCACCCGGAAATTCGTTATGGAATTTGAAAAAAAAAACAAAAAAAACGTGTAATTATATCACACGATTCACACCCCGTTAAACCCCTGTTAAACCCGTTGAAGCCCTTTTAAGCCCCTTCGCACCCTGCTTATACCCCATAGACACCCTTTGGCGACGCCACCAAATTTCAAGGTAAGGCTGGATTTGGGCACATCTCCGTGGGCGCAAAATTGCCCCACAGCACCCCCAACAGATAAATAAATTTATCCCCCTTTTGGTGTTGCCCGGGTAACCCAGGCGGGTCGCCCCCCAGGCAGGTCCGTCCGGGTTGCCCGGCCAGCCGACTCTGGTAAACTAGGTAATAGCTGAATTGTTGTCACTGTGTGAACGAAGACCGGGGCTCGATTCCTTTATCTTATTTCTTTTTCTTTTTTGGTTTCGGTTCTTGGCGCACGCGCATTGTCTCATGCATATTGTTGATTTATTCTTATATGTGGTGATGATGCTAAATATAAAGATAGCAGAAATTCATGAAAATGCATTTACGTCATTTGCTTGTTGGTGGTATTATTGGACTTTCTTTTTCGCTGGAAATTTCTTTGTTGTAGACTTGTAGTCTTGTAGATAATGAGGGTAGTTTTTTTTATTTAACTTCATTTTGCCCCATTGATTAACTAAGGAGCTCTTCAGTGTGTTTAACTAATGAGGATGATATTTTGGGGCCGGGGGGAGGAGGGGGGTGGGGGGAGGGGAGGGGAGGGGAGGGGAGGGCAGGGGGGGGTGATGGAAAATAAATCCGAGTATCAGTAGAGTCAAATTTTGTGGGTGATAATAAGTGATATATCTAGAACCGAAAAGCACAAGATGGTGACGGTATTTGCTATAGTGAAAATATCCTTAAAACCAGGAAAAAAAAAAATCATTATTTCTTTTTTCCAGCGTTATCATTTATTACCAAGGGTCCTATCTGAGTGTCGAAATGGTCCATCATTAATCGTTACTCTACTATTGTATCAATGGACTCTGAAGAATTTAAACGAAATCAAGCTAATTTTTAATGTAAAATTATGAATCATTATAAAAATGATTTAAACATAGAATAGTTATTCTAATATTCTGTCAATATTTGAATTTTGAAGATTCCAATGGCTTATGTTCGTTTTTCTGTTTTGTGCGCACTTCATGGAATTGCTGACTCTACATTATCCACTTCATGGAATTGCTGACTCTGGATTATCTACAGGTACACGGGCTATACCAGGACCGTTATGCATATCGAGATTTAATGACTGACGTCATTATTCAGCACTTGATCACGGAGCAAAAGGTAGCAAATAATTAAGAAAATAAAGAAATAGAAATCAACTAAGACATGAAAATAAATAAAGATACCAAAACAAATAAAAAACAAAGAAAGAATTAGCAAAACATTGAAAACAACCAAAAGTTACGAAAAATTGAATATTGCCGAAAAGAAACGAGCAATTCTTTGTATTGTGTATGTACTATGTGGGTATATTTGTAACATGCACTATATAGTATATAGTATATACTATATACTATTAATAGTATTAAATGCAATTCCATTATATAGGCTCGGGACACACTAAATGACAAAAAAAGGGAGATCGGAATGTATACTATTTTATTATATTATACAGTAAACATACTAAACAACGAAAAAAAGAGGAAAATTGGAAAATATGTTCGACGATGACCAAACGGTGTTATTGGGATATACAACTAAACATTTTGTACTCTATGATCCGTTGATAAATAGGTAGAAAATGGTAAAAAAGGGTGAATTGGAATATAATAATATATGCTCAACAACAAACCAGGAGGATTGGGACACACTAAACGACCAAAAGAGGGCGTTTATGACCAACTAAACGATAATAGAGGCGTTTTATGACACACTCAAGGATGAAGAAGGGGGGGAGAGGAGGGGGGGGGATACACTAAACGACAAAACAAAGCGGTTGTGACCATCTTTTTTCTTTTAAGTGAAGAGTTCCTTGAAAAATCCGGGGCATGGAGATTTTTTTTTTCTCCTCTTTTTCTTTGCCATGGGACTGTTACGACAAAACTGGAGGCATGGCATAAAGCAAAATTTCAAATTTGGACGATGAAAATTCTATCAACCGTAATATATTAGAGAATAATGCAGTTATTTGAAAAATAAAAAATAAAAAAATAGTGACTCTTAGGGAGTATAATACATGACAAAATTAAGAAATTATTGATTAATAATTGATAGTTGAGTGATCACTAATTAGTATTTTCTATTTAGTGTATCATCCTAAGCGCCCCCAAATCTGAGGGACTTCCTTGGTGTCCGTAAAGGTGAAGAAAAGGTTCTGAGGCAAATAAATGTGCAATTGTTTTTTTTCAGAGAATTTATTTTCTGGTTCTTATTATTTATTTATTGATTTATTTATTGATTTATTTATTTATTTATTTATTTATTGTTTTTTTTCCTTTTTTAGAGAATTTATTTTCTGGTTCTAAAACAAACTCGTTAAAGAGTAAAAAGGGGATGTAAATTAAGAAATGATCCAAATAATGAATATAATGTCAAATCATGACTCAAATGTTTTACGGTAGCTTTTGATTCTGCAAGAGTGTGAAGTATAATACTTAGTGTCACAAACACATTCGTTAGTGAAAACAAAGCAAAACAAGAAATAAGCAAGTCAAAAAAGGGAAAAAAAAAGGTAAAGTTTTGAATTTTTTATAACAACATCATCCGACCATTGTTAGTCAGCACTTGGTTTTCACCCTTGCTTCCCCTCCCTCTTCCCCTCCTCCCCTCCCCCTCCTCTTCTACCCCTACCACTCCCTTCCTCCGCACCATCCTCCCCTCTCCCTGTCCTCTTCCCTCATTTCCTCTCTTGCCCTCCCATCCTCCCACCTGCCCCTTCTCCTCCCCTCTCCTCCCCCTTCTCCTCCTTCCTTGCCCCACAAGGAAAAACAAAGAAAAATACAAGGTGTGGTAACGATGTCGTGAGTCAACAACGAGTAGATTTTGTGTCGTTCATGAGTCACGAATGCATACATAATTTTTGTTTTTTCCGTGCGGATTCAAATGTCAAAAGCCAAATGGATGGGAGAAAAGGAAGCAAAGAAAGATGTATTTTTGCACGATGCGGACCGGACTCTATCCTAGGCTGTGTGGCTCAACCTGTATGTCGCTTTGCCGAGGCTGATTCGAGGTTGTGCTGACGACGTTCTATTTCTGTGGTTACACTGTTCTTCTTCCGTTTTGATCTCCTTTCATCATCTCTCTCTCTCTCTCTCTCTCTCTCTCTCTCTCTCTCTCTCTCTCTCTCTCTCTCTCTCTCTCTCTCTCTCTCTCTCTCTCTCTCTGTGCTTTCACACACATTACGACACATTACGACAACCTTCTCTCTCTCTCTCTCTCTCACACACACATACACACTCACAGCCTCTCTCTCTCTCTCTTGCACACACACAAACACACCCAAAAAAAAAAAAACACTGGCTGGTGTATTGCATGCACGCACGCAGGTAAGAATCAAGTGTCGTGATTACGTCAAACGTATTGCGGTCTATAGGGAGCGACTTGCGGTGCAGCTTCCTGACCGTGTGATCATCTACGAGCTTGCGGAGGATGATGGCTTTGATATGCAGTATCGCGTCAGCACTAAGATTCAGAGGAAGCTAGATTGCAACCTACTGGTTCTCACATCCATGCACATCATTCTTTGCCAGGTCAGACAGCTACCAAGCTTTTTTTTTTTTTCTTTTTTTTCTCTTTTATTTAAGACAGCTATCAAGCTTGTTCTTTCCTTGTTATTTTTTGGTTGTTCTCTTTTCTACGTGTGATGGGCTCATAGGCCCTAACATTGTTGTGCGCATGATGATTTGGGCGACAAGGGCAAGGGCGATTTTGGGGCAACCGCAAGGGCAAGCGCAATTTGGGGGCGAGTGCAAAGGCAGGGGTCAGGAAAGCGCAAACGCAAGGGCAAGAGCACGAGCAAGAGCAAGGGCAAGGGCAAGGGCAAGCACACATACATGCATGCGGTACACAGAGTCATCTCAAGGGAGCCTTCGAAAAGTTCGACACGCAATGGGTTTTTTTTTTTTTTTTTTTTTTTAATTCAACTCTTGATCCCTGGTTTTTACAAAGTTGGGACCCGGTTTCCAGCACGTGCAGCTCCCCACCAATAGATGGAGCAGCCGTGGGACCTAGTAGGGGGGGCTGCTCATATCACCCCTCCTAATAGAAACACGGGCTCTTTGGATTTGGGGGGGGG